ATCTCTCACAATCAGCTTATGGGCAATTGGTAGCTGAGAGCAAGGCCCTCATGGGTAATTACAGCCGTACTGAATGGTGTACTGCTATTTGGTTTCACAGAGGCCCTTCGTGTATCGAGGATCTCTTGCCAGTAGATTGTAATTCTATAATTTTGGAATAAAACTCATCTTTGTCGGAAAAAAAAAGATTCCCTTAATCATCTCTCGGAGCTACGTTGCGGCTTTCCACGTGAAATGGACTGGCACAAATCATATTTTAGGCATGATAAATAACAGAACCGGGAAGATAAACCCTCCATCACCTCGCGATCCCCAGATCCCACACGGGAAAAATGTGCACAGTGGAGAAGCGCGGCCGCGTCCACCTCATCACCCTCACCGGCGCCGGTGAGCACCGACTCAGCCCATCCCTCATCTCGGCCCTCCGCACAGCCGTGGCCACCGTCCGCGCCTCCCCCGGTGCCGGTGCCCTCGTGCTGGCCGCCGAGGGCAAGTACTTCTCCAACGGCTTCGACCAAGCCTGGGCGCGCACGGTCCCGCCCCACCTCCACGACTCCATGAGAGGAGCCTTCCGCGCCCTCGTGGCCGACCTCCTCGCGCTGCCCATGCCCACCGTGGCCGCCGTCACGGGCCACGCAGCCGCCGCCGGCTGCGCGCTGGCCCTCGCGCACGACTCCGTCGTCATGCGCGCCTCCCGCGGGTTCCTGTACATGAGCGAGGTCGACGTCGGCCTCAAGTTCGCCGACTACTTCGGGGAGCTACTCCGGCAGAAGGTCCCCAACGCAGCGGCCAGGAGGGACATGGTCCTCGGGGGGAAGAAGATGACGGCGGCTGAGGCGGTGCGGCTGGGCATCGTGGACGCGGCCGCGGACGGCGGCGTCGAAGACGTGGTGGCCGCGGGCGTCGCGGCAGCCGAGGTGCTCGCGACGAGGGGTTGGGACGGGGAGATCGTGGCCGAGATCCGGAAGGCGATGTGGCCCGCCGTGTGGGGCAAGGTCAAGGACCACGGCGCCGAGGCAGCGGCAGCGCGGCCGCGTCTGTAGGCTCCGGTATATCGTACGAGGCCACTCCTTGTGCTCGAGCATTCGCGTAGCCTGAAGAATTGCTCTGGATCCACGGCATGCCGTGGATCTGGGAACTTCAGCTGAGAACAGAGTAATGTTCAGGAACTGCTCGAACAGAATCGTGTCGCCAAGAAGATCCGCACCGGCGACATGTGATGAGCGCACCGTGCTGGTGGTTTTCCTTGTACTCCTATTGATCTTCGCATCGGGTTTCATTGACTGTTGTTACTCTGACGGAAGCTCGTTGCTGATAGACTTCTGAACTTCTGAAGCATGACTGAATGAAGAGATGAAGATGAACTGCTTTCGCGTATATGGGCAGGGCACTCGTGTTTTTCATTAACCATGGTGCACAGCATTGTCGTTGGCCACCAGATCGGGTAGGAAGTCCGGGGTGAGGTGCTACTCCCTCCGTTTTACAAATATAAGATGTTTTGAATATTTTAATATAGATATATACGGACCAATTGGATGAACAAATATATTAAAACACGTCTATGTACATCTGATTTACAAAAATGTTACAAATCTTGTATTAGTGAGCGGAGGGAGTATTCCCTAAGACAATTATTTGCCTTAAATCGTCCTGCTAATGCCACGAACAAATTTGTTTTTAAACAATGGCATAAGTTTTGGTTCATCCATTCATCAAGAAGAATAGAGCTTGTTTACACAGTAACATAATTTAAAAGAGGTTGTTACTCTCCCGCTAGTATTGAACGCAAGCTCTTTGCCCCACGATCACCCGGTTTCATTCTTGATGACGATGCCAAGAAAAAATGGCGGCGGTGTAGACTTGTGACAAAAACCCATGCGTTCTTTCCATTCCAAATAGTCCAACTAACAAGGATGACATGGAAAGTCATGGCTTTTTCTATTTGGGACGTGCAAGACGGACAGGTTGAGCCATCATTCCTTGTTAGAATGCTCCAAACTCTACGTCGAAGTGCCTATGCTCTCTATTTGAAGCCACTCCTTATATG